GGCTGGTCTTGAACTCCTGACCTCAAGTGATCCACCCGCCTTGGCCTCCCAAAGTGCTGGGATTACAGGAGTGAGCCACCGCGCCTGGCCCAATTCTAGTTAACTTTTTAAGGAAGCGCCAAACTGTCTCCCACGGTGTGGGTCAAGCCATTTCTAAGACTCCCATTAAACACCCAAGTGGACAGGTCCAGTGGGCAGTGGGGTATTCTAGCACTGAGTCAGGGGAGGGGTCCAAGCTGGAGCTGAAAAGGAAAGCTGAGGCCCCATGCAGGACGGCGATGGAGCTCACTGAGGCTCTGGAAGGTGCACCTCCCAACCCTCTGCCCATCCCCACCAGCAGCAATGTTGTCTACAGTGGTGTGGTCCCTAGACACACACGATGGAAAGAGATGTATAATAGAAAATAACACCGAGTGATATGTATTGACTCAATCCCATCCACCCCCTCCCTCCTTTATGCTGCTTTCATTTCTTTACGGCTTCCTTCGTCGTTCCTTTATATTTCTTCACAATTGGCATCAACATGTGTCCCATTCATTTGTGTCCATCTGCTGACTGTCCCCCCTCACTAGCACGTAAACCCCCGTAAAGGCAGGAACCCTGTGGGCTTATTCACTGCTGCATCCTCAGCCCAGGGAGGCTGCTCAGGAGACATTTATTGAATGAAGATGTGCAGAACGAATGCACATCCTGTGCATCATGCCGGCTCCTGGGAAGCTCTATGGCAGCCTCTCGGCAGCTCGCTCAGGGCAGGCGCTGTTCAGAGTAGGTTCTCGCACACAGGAAACCTAAGACTCCGTGGGTAGTCACCCCAGACCCCTAGGTTGTTCCTCCTGCAGGTAGAGCGCAGACGTTTCCTTCTCACCAGGCATCCTTCCCACCCCTATCAACCCTCTAGGCCCACGGGGGTGGGGGGCGTGTCTGGGACTTGGCTGGACTGTTGCCATAGAAACAGCTGGAAGACCTGCCCACCACCACCACCACTGCCACCACCGACTCCCACCTCTCTTCTCCATCACCTTTTCTCTTTTGAGACAGGGTCTCACTCTGTCAACCCAGGCTGGAGTGTGGTGGTGCAATCACAGCTCCCTGCAGCCTTGATCTCTGGGGCTCAAGTTATCCTCCCACCTCAGCCTCCTGAGTAGCTGGGACTATAGGTGCGCACCACCACGCGCGGCTCATTTTTTATTTTATTTTATTTTATTTTATTTTATTTTATTTTTTGTAAAGACAGGGTTTTGCTGTGTTGGCGAGGCTGGCTGGTCTCCTGCTTGAGCGATCTGCCCACCTTGGCCCCCCAAAGTGCTGGGATTTACAGGCGTGAGCCACCGCACCCAGACGACCCTTTTTCTCAGCCTGTATCTCCCTTCTGAATAGTTAGCAGCAGCAGCAAACACTTTCTTATTTCACCTGCAGTATGCCAGGCACTGTTCTAAGCTCTTTACACATATTTACTCAGTTCATCCTCCTGACCATTCAGAGATAACCATCCTCATCCCCATTTTACAGATGGGGGAACTGGGGCACAGGTAGCTTAGGTAAGAACCTGTCAGTGTCAGGCAGCCGGCAGGAGGTCCAGCCGGGTGATGAACCACCCTGCTGTGGTTGTGGTTCAGCTGTGGACAGAGACACTCCAAACCTGACGCCATAAGCATGGTGTGCGTGCGTGTGCGTGTGCCTGTGTGAGAGAGGAACGAGACAGAGAGAGAGCACGCGAGAGAGCACCTGAGATCCGTTGATTACCAGATCTAAATAAAGGAGAGAAATTGGCATTTGGGGGCACTGAGGACAATATGGGTGTAAGTCAGTGGTTCTCCACGGGGGCCTCCTCGAAACAGGTGGACTTTTGGCAATGCCTGGAAGCATCTTACATTGTCACAACTCGGGGGGATGCGGTGCTCCCGGCATCGAGAGGGCGCTGCTAAACATCCCACAGTGCTCAGGACAGGCTCTCACCACAAAGCAGCATCGGTCCCCGAATGTCAGTGCTGATAAACCGTGCACTGCCTCTTCCCACTTGCCTGGTCTATAAACTCAAATTCTCAACTTCTCTCTCTC